GTGCATGTTTATCAGTGTGTTAACAAAGAACAAGTAGCAGTTAACAATTTATATACAAATCGAGAAATTTTAATTGAAGAAAAGTTATACCCTATTGGAAACTTGTGGTTTCAGATGAATCCCTCAAATGGTTTGGCTGGAAACCTGTAGACAAGTCTTGAAAGTGAAGATTTAAGGACGGAAAATCCAAAATGGCCACCTTAAAATTTACCCAGAATGCCCAAAAACCAATCAGTTCTTGAAGTTGATATGTAGAAACATCCCTGAAAATTTCAGATGAATCCCTCAAATGGTTTGGCTGAAAACCTGTAGACAAGTCTTGAAAGTGAAGATTTTAGGACGGAAAATCCAAAATGGCCACCTTAAAATTTACCCAGAATGCCCAAAAACTAATCAGTTCTTGACGTTGATATGTAGAAACATCCCTGAAAATTTCAGATGAATCCCTCAAATGGTTTGGCTGGAAACCTGTAGACAAGCTGAAAAGTGAGACGCCGATGCCGCCCGCCAAGCTGACTACAATATCGTACCTCTTGTTAGGTACGATAAAAAGTTGGAGACCATAACAGTTGTGGCGGTGACATAAAAACAATCCACATCGATAGATGTTCAGATAATTAAGGTGTTCAGATATACAAATTTTGCTGTATTGGGTCCTGGGTCACTGAACCTGTTTCAGAGCATCATGACATGTCAGGAAATAGGGGAAATAAGATGACCTCTTTTTGATATGTTGAGTCTAAGTTCATTTTCCAGGAAATTGTCAGTTGACTTTTTGACACATCAACCAAGTAAACAATGAAGGTAAATTGGGCAAGATTAGCTAAACACCTTTATGTGTTTATCTCAAGAATCTGGCACAACTAGCTGGCACAACTAGCTTTACTCAACTATTTAATTGTCCCTACACTCCCCAAAGACTTATATTGTTGACGTTTCGGCAGCCTATAGATGCCATCATCAGAACTATTATTTGGATTCCGGTTCTTGAGCACAGACTCCGGAAGTTGAGATCAGGCATACACCAATCATGAAAATTTGTCGCAATATAACTTTGTGGTGACTAATGAAATTAATGATGATTTAAAACAATAGAGTTTGCCACTTCAAAGGACCTTAAAGGATAATCTGCTATAAATGGAATCATAAATTTGCAAGAAATACCTTCAATTAACTGATCAATGTATTTTTACATTCACATATAAATAAGCTACAGACATTTTCCTGTTGACACAGATTACTATAGAATGTAAAAGTAATCACAAAAATCCCATCTTTTAGAGTGATAAAATAGATTGCAATTAAGGAATGAGATCCATAAAATAAATGAACACGATCAGACATATATGTACATGTATATACATTTCAGTTATTCATCTGCTGATAAGAAACTGCATTATATGAGTTACACATAACTGCAGCTAAGATTGCTCACAGTTTTAGCAATTTCTTGTATGATTTATTTCAACATATACTTGAACAAATATATATCTCTAGAACAGAGCAAGACCAGGATCATAAACCTTCTAAATGTGATTGAGAATTTGAATCAAACAAGTGTTTTTTACAATGTGCGATTTTCTATATTGCATTTTAAATATGATAGATCTCCTTTTCTAAATATAACCACATCCTTTATCATTTCAACAGTTTCTCATGAGGAAATCTTGCTTGAGTCATGTTTTGTGCAAAATCTAGATGGAACGAGGTATTAATGAGCGGATAAAGAAAGCAATAAAAAAAGATCGTCCATTACTCTCCCCTCCACAATTACTAATAAAGCTACAATATTTCCTCTAATGATACAAACTCTTCGAAACAATCTAAGCTTAGATCTCGATTTCATTATTTTGAAAATAATCTATTGATGGCAGAGTTTATCTTAGATTTGAAATAAAATAAATGAAGTAAATTCCAATATTGCATAAAAGGGTTAAAAACTGGTTGTTGTTTTTTTATTCTAATTTTGTACAGTGACTTGCTTCTGGGAAAATTTTCCAGCAGGGGAGATCATTTTTTATCTGGGAGTGACGTTTCCGTTGAATGTGATGTACAAAGGTACCAAAATCTCGACAATTGCAAGACTAAATGATCATTAGCTGATGAAGGTAAACAGTTAATGATGAACAAAAGTAGAAATTCTTCATTAGATTTGAAATCTACACTCATGTTTCATGAAATGGAAACTACAAGTTCTTGAACTTTCAACCAATTAAAAACATAACCATACTTCGTTTTTTCTTCTAACTCTATCTAATTGAGGCAAAGCGTTGTGAAACTTGTAGCATGTCAGCCATAATATTATGGCCATAATATAATTAAGCACATTACGTAAAGCACACATTATAGGTGTTTAATACCACATTTAAGCTTATTAAGATTGTCTCAGCATCAAAACTGCAAAATCATTTGTCTGATGGGAATTCAGGATACTTAAGTCAGTCCTGATCCTCTTGTCACATTGTCAGTGTCATCTTAGGGCACCCATAGCTCCCTTTGAGGGGCTTCCTTACCTTTCCTTAGGGTCATATTTCTTGATTACCCTTTCTGACGTCTCCAAACTGTGTCCAAATCTATGCTTGTTATTTTACATAAGTCTAATATTATCTGAATTTTGTGAATAGATAGATGGAGGGGGATTGATGGAAGGTTAACAGCCTAGGATTATGCTTCGTAGAGTGCTTGCACCTACAAAGGGGAGTATTGTCTATATTTTGACATCTCTCGTCATATCTAAACATGGATATTCAACATGGACATGGATAATCTTAGAATGAGAAATAGGACCATGACAGTGAATAGGAGGATGGATAAGTAAAGTTGGACATAGTTAAGAGGAATATAATAGGTCAATAACCTAGGAAATGTTACCTGGCTGATGTGGACATTACTGTTATATTACAAGGCCATAATATGACAAAGCACATTATGTAAAGCACATTATAGGTGTTTAACACAAAATTTTATGTAGTTTGAAGGGGTTTTAGCAACTAAAATATCACCTATCTGATATAAAATGTCAATAAAAGCTAAAATAATAAAACTCAATAAGGGATATCTATATTGAAATTTCCATGTTGTAACAAAATGTGCCTTTGGAACTATGGCTTCAGTATTATATGGTTATTTCAATATGAACACACTCGACTCAATTTTATGAAATCTAGTGAATATACATCATATAAGGTTACCTATTTTATACATGAATTCATCTAAGTTCTTTACATTCTAGTGTGTGTTATGTGAGTTCATATATAAATTGCTTTTAGATTCTGAAACAAATTACATAACATTAAAAATATATTCTATTTTGTTTCATATTTGCAGGGACCAAGAAAAGACTTGATGGATTAAAGACCAGAGCACTCAGAACACCAGGCATAGAGGATTGCTTTAATTACTGTGATATGACTTACAAATTCAGGTTTTGCATTATAGGTTATTGAATTCATAGCTTCATTTAATCTTCCATAATGAAAATATTTCAATTTTATATTTCTTCTTTTCAATATTTCAATTGTCTTTAAGTTTCTTGCAAAGCAGGCTTATAACTGTAACTCAAGGTAAATAGATAAAGCATTTACCTATGAGACATTAGTTAATTAAGCATGGACAGATGCCCATATTTTGTAATCTTAAAGGGAAACAACCCTTCGTATATATAAGCTAACACTCGTGAAATAGATTTTTGGTGTTTCATGCATCTTATTTTCCAGCGTGACACACAAAGCTAAGCTTTTCCATGCAAATGATCAACAGAAATTAAGAGTCAATAGGTGGCGCAGTGAAACACTAAATAAATAGACCAATCACTGCAGCACATTGCAGACCAGGTTCCCTGAGGTATCCTCTCATCAAAATACACTGCGCAAATCCTGAAGCTTTGATGAGCTGTTATATGCAAGCAAAGCACATATCTATGTGTTTAATATAGGTTTACCCACCAAGTAGTGTTAGTAAAGACAGCCATAGATACTTGCTAGTTGCTGTGACATTACGCCAGAATAATCGGCACTAAGCTACAACGGAGCATGCTCTACTAAAAATATGAATTAGAAAATCAAATTTCGGAAAGTTTGATTTCTGCAATAATTTTCATATATTTTATTGCAAATATCTTGTTTCAGAATTTCCAAGATTTTGGTTAAATTACAATGTTGATAAATTTATTTCCCATTATTACCCATTGAAAGTCGACGCTGTATTCTCTTTAATCATGATGTTGCTATAAACAGTTATTTGAATGTATAGGGGTGTAAATTCATCAACATTTTCTCAGCAAAGAGAGCATTATTGCAAATCTAACATGACGTTCATGAGAAAATCTCCAAAATTAAATTAACATATATATCAAGTTAGAATTTCAATTACCAATGACATTGTTACTCCAGTAAACAGATATAGCTTGCATGTAATGACTGCAATGCAACATTGAAAGAACACAATACAGTCATTTCAACTACAGTACAACCTATGAGTGGACACCTTTGGCACCTCTGAAAGGTGATCCACTTGAAAAAAGTGCTCCACTTGAAAGGTGATCCACTTCCAGAGGTTCATTTAGATAATGTCAAAAGGTTATGTGACTCTTGAAACTCCACTTATTGAGGTGTTCAATGTATAGAGGTGTTGCACAGTAATATCAACTACAGCAAAACCTATACAAGTAGACACATTTGGTACCTCACTAAAGGTTTAACTGTATTATGTAAAAGTTTCAATTGTTAGTTTTTTTAGTAGGCAATAGACATTAAAAGTTTTAGAGCTTCTTTTAGACAAAAATGAAAGATATGAAAGAGACAGTTAATGTCATCACTGAAGGCAGGCAAAGTGGAATATAGAATCTAATTTGAATCCTTTATATGTAGGCCTACATACTGACAAACTCTTGCCTACCCTAAGCCAACATATACAGATTTGTATTATAAAAAGGGTTGGTACCAAAGATCAACAATAAAATATGAAAACCTACATATGACCATCTCAGATTTCACACTCACCTGATTCACTTGATGAACACACAAGTTTTGGAAACATCTCATCGGGATTCACCTGACTGAACCCTGGGATTGGACGCGTGAGGAAGTAGTAGCATCCGTGTAAAACATCTGTTGCATGCTCCCTGTTATGATCTGAAACACAAGGAGATTGAAATTGTTTAGAAAGGTCAAGCTTCGCATTTTTAAGACGAGAAAAACAACAACTCCACAGAGTAGCAAATCCCACCGAACAAAAAATATTTTGATTATTAGTGGCCGTCTTGAATATTCCTTCTTGAGCAGAGCTTGTTTGTCCCTAGGCATCAAAATATAAAATGTAAATATTCTTATGGCCTAGTCACATAGCCCGGCCGATGAGTTTACGATGAGCCAGCGATGCAATTTTCACCGAACTCGGCCGAACACCGGCCAGACACCGGCCGGACATCCGTGGCGTTTGTTGCTTAAAACAGCATCGATGGTAGCTCGGTGAAATTTTAACTTTGGAGTTAAATTTCACCGGCTCTCACCGAGCTCCCTCATCATGTCATCGCAGCCCCATCATAACCACATCGGAAAACACGTCGGCCGGTGCACGGCCGAGTATTAGCCGGTGTCCCGTGCATCTGAGACAACCAGAGGACGAGGTTTTTTAACGGACAGCAGCGCTCCTGCCGATGTGGGACAGAGCATCGGCCGGTCACTGTTCAAAGCCCGTTAACAACCCGGCCGGCGATCGCACGGTGTCCTGTTACCTGCTCGGGTACCGGCCGTATTCCTTCCGATGTCCGGCCAACCTCCGGCCGGTAGTTGCTGCCACATCGGCAGAAAAAAACTACCATTTTGAGACAGACTCCGAACGGTCACCGGCCGGTGTTCGGTCGGTCGCCTGAAGATGTCCGGACAGAGTCCGTTCATGTCACCGAGCTCTGCTTCCAATGAGGAGAGCTCGGTGGCACCAAAAAAATCCACCGAGCTCTACCGATGCCGGACATCGGCCGGGCTATGTGACTAGGCCAGTAATTAGCATTTGAGTTACCAAAGATTGCATTCCTTTTTTATGAAAAATGGCAGCCATTTTGAAATTCAGCCGCCATTTTGAAAATCTTCCTCGAACAAAGCTACTGTGTACCTAGGCATCAGCATATAAAATTTGAACAAAATCCATTCACTGCTATCTGAGTTATCAAAGATTACATTTTTTACGAAAAATGGTGGCCATTTTAAAATTCAGGTGCAATCTTGAAAAATCTTTTACAATCAGAGGTACTGTGTCTCTAGGCATCATCATATAAGATTTGATCCAAATCCATTCACATTTATGTTATCAAAGATTACGTTTTTTATGAAAAAATCTCTTCTTCAGAGTACAGTAAAACCTGTCCGATGGAATACCTCTCTGTAGGGAAAACCTATGAACAAGGAATGCTTTTCAAAAGAACCGAATATTTTTCCATTGACTTACATGTTAACGGACCCTCTCTGTAGGGAAAACCTGTGAACAGGGAACAAGGAACACTATTTTGGGGCAAATTATGAAAATTCACCTGTGAACAAGGAATATGGAATATTGGTGACACTGTATATTCCATTATTTTTCAGAGGTGTGAGAGTCTTAAGCCAATATCTGAATATAGAAAGCTTGGATTAATATGATTGAGATTAAGATAAGCCAATTGTCCACTGTTAATTACCCTGATTTATTTTAAAACTTAGTACTAATCTGTTTGTTACTCATTATCATGACACTAATTCTTCCCTTCAAAAACCTAATTGCATCAAATCAGTTGTGATAATCTAGAGACTGACACAATTGTTTTATGAAGATAACAGATAGTAAGTACATGGTCATGTTGAGCCAAATCTATTTAAGTCTTTTACTGGTCCAACTTCTAAATTATCAATGATATAAAATGGGGTTGATGAAACTTGAAATTCAGTTCTTAGCACTATATCTCTACACATCATATCAATAATTACATCAACTAGACATCATCAGACGCTAGCAGCAGCTAAAATCAACATGGGGAGAACGTAACCAAGTATGGAGCCGGCATTTGTACAATTAATCAATATACACACATATATACAAATATGCTTATTCGGCAAGTTTGAGTTTGCTTAAAGTGCGGCCCCTCTCTATAGGGAAAACCTCTGAACAAGGAAACTTTCCTTCAGTCCCAAGAGCATTCCCTGTTCGCAGGTTTTACTGTACGTCCTTTGTCCCTAGGCATTAGCAAATAAAATTTGATCTAAATCCGTCAACTAGTATTTGAGTTATCAAAGATTAGGCCACTGTCTCCATAAGACCTATGGAGGCCATTGTCTTCATAAGGTCTATGGAGGCCATTGTCTTCATAAGGTCTATGAAGGCCATTGTCATCATAAGGTCTATGGAGGCCATTGTCTTCATAAGGTCTATGGAGGCCATTGTCTTCATAAGGTCTATGGAGGCCATTGTCTTCATAAGGTCTATGGAGGCCATTGTCTTCATAAGGTCTATGGAGGCCATTGTCATCATAAGGTCTATGGAGGCCATTGTCTTCATAAGGTCTATGGAGGCCATTGTCTTCATAAGGTCTATGGAGGCCATTGTCTTCATAAGGTCTATGGAGGCCATTGTCTTCATAAGGTCTATGGAGGCCATTGTCTTCATAAGGTCTATGGAGGCCATTGTCTTCATAAGGTCTATGGAGGCCATTGTCATCATAAGGTCTATGGAGGCCATTGTCTTCATAAGGTCTATGGAGGCCATTGTCTTCATAAGGTCTATGGAGGCCATTGTCTTCATAAGGTCTATGGAGGCCATTGTCATCATAAGGTCTATGGAGGCCATTGTCTTCATAAGGTCTATGGAGGCCATTGTCTTCATAAGGTCTATGGAGGCCATTGTCTTCATAAGGTCTATGGAGGCCATTGTCTTCATAAGGTCTATGGAGGCCATTGTCTTCATAAGGTCTATGGAGGCCATTGTCTTCATAAGGTCTATGGAGGCCATTGTCTTCATAAGGTCTATGGAGGCCATTGTCTTCATAAGGTCTATGGAGGCCATTGTCTTCATAAGGTCTATGGAGGCCATTGTCTTCATAAGGTCTATGGAGGCCATTGTCTTCATAAGGTCTATGGAGGCCATTGTCTTCATAAGGTCTATGGAGGCCATTGTCTTCATAAGGTCTATGGAGGCCATTGTCTTCATAAGGTCTATGGAGGCCATTGTCTTCATAAGGTCTACGGAGGCCATTGTCTTCATAAGGTCTATGGAGGCCATTGTCTTCATAAGGTCTATGGAGGCCATTGTCTTCATAAGGTCTATGGAGGCCATTGTCTTCATAAGGCCTATGGAGGCCATTGTCTTCATAAGGCCTATGAAGGCCATTGTCTTCATAAGGTCTATGGAGGCCATTGTCTTCATAAGGTCTATGGAGGCCATTGTCTTCATAAGGTCTATGGAGGCCATTGTCTTCATAAGGCCTATGTTACATGTGGATTATTTAAGGAATAAAGACCAAGATTTAACGATTTATGGCATAATATATGACCGAAAATTTTATTCTGTTCATTGTTAAAAAACTGAAATCGCAAAGTGATTGAGGTCTTTGGCAATGGCCAGAATAAAAGTTAAGGTCATATATTTGACATAAATCATAAAATCGTGGTATTTGTTACGATTCTAATGTGATAATAAACAGACAAGAAAGACAACTTTTTGCATTCTTGAATTCTAGCAGTCGTACTCTAATATAGACCAGTAAATCAATTGTTCTAGCTATTGTGACGTCACATATCATACTAGAATATGAGATTTCAAACATCCAAGCAAAATAAACCCCTTAATGCCTTACTAATTTCCAGGTCGTTGACATCCCCTTCCATATAATTTCATACTATCGAGTCTAACAGAGGGCAAGGGGAATAATAGGAGGACTCTTATGAAAGAAAACATTACGACTTATTCACCCTGGCCAAAACAAAGATGTTGCTTTTACAAAGAAGAAAGGCATGAGCATTGTAATATATTAAAGAGGATTATATATCAATAGGTCTTGTCTTTCGTGCTATTTACTAAACCAAATTAGAAGAGAGCATATAATAAGTTTATGATTCTATACAGGAAACATTAATGAATCGCACGAATATTTTTAGGCTTGAAAAGAAGCAAGAACAAGGCAGATCCTTTCAAGAAAGTTCTTTGTAATTTAATTCCTTACTTGGGAATGAAAAAACAAGAAGAATAAGGCAAAAGCTTGCATTAGCTTCCAGACAATCTATCATTCCATAACTTGATCTTTTTATTTAAATGATGCGGTAATAGGATATTTCATTCGAGGGATCATTTTTCCAACTTTCTTACTGATGAAGATGCTAATGCAACAAATCACGAACTATCCCCCTCCATGCATAAAATGATAAAGACATCATTATATTTCTTACCTAGTAAAACTAAAAGGTTATAATAATGATGAAAATACATCCTTTGAATGCAATGCAGAGCTCCAGATATCAGAAGAAGAAAGGAACAGAGAAAGTGATTTCTGGAGACCCGAATTAGTAGGATGAAGAAAATATCTCAGAGATTCCAAATAATTTAACACCATATAAATGCTTGATGGAGGGATGGATAGAGGGACAAACAGACAGATGGACAGACAGAAGATTGAGTGGTTCTATAGGCCTCACCATGTGAACAAAAAAAAGCTGACAAAATTATTTATGATCGAAAGAAATAAGTAAAAATCAAAGAGAAACGTATCAGTCACTTCTCCCAATTCTACAGTTAAACTACCGTAAAACCTGTGTATGTGGAACATCTTTGGTACCTCTAAAGTGTTTCACTTAAGAGATGCTCCATTTAATATAGAGGTTCATTTTAAATCAAGTCAGTTGGTCTTGGAACTGAAAAGTGTTCCACTTATACAGGTGTTCCAGTTTACAGGTTCCATTGTACCAATTTTATCACAAACTTTATGTGTCAGTATAGTAGTCTTAATTAATGTCTTAATGGTTTGCAAAATATTTCAATGGACTATTGTATCAAATTCCAAAATGTAAAAAATGAAATCAAGGCCCAGGCAGAAATGATTATTAATACGAAAGATATTGCTTAAACAAATTTATAGGTTATTGTAAATCCATTTTTATTACTAGCATTATAGTATAAAGTATGGTGTAAATTACGAAAACTCTCATAAAAAGGTAAAAATTAATTTTGCTATCAAGAGAATAAGATACCGCAACTTGGAGACTGATTAAACAGGAAAATTGAATCCAAGAGGAACTAATGGACATACATGTAGAAAGACCTGCATATTCTACATGTAGAAAGGCCTGCATATTCTACATGTAGAAAGACCTGCATATTCTACATGTAGAAAGACCTGCATATTCTACATGTAGAAAGACCTGCATATTCTACATGTAGAAAGACCTGCATATTCTAAATGTAGAAAGATCAGCATATTCTAAATGTAGAAAGGTCAGCATATTCTACATGTAGAAAGACCTGCATATTCTACATGTAGAAAGACCTGCATATTCTACATGTAGAAAGATTATTCTACATGTAGAAAGATCTGAATATTCTACATGTAGAAAGATCTGCATATTCTACATGTAGAAAGATCTGCATATTCTACATATAGAAAGACCTGCATATTCTACATGTAGAAAGATCTGCATATTCTACATGTAGAAAGATCCGTATATTCTGCATGTAGAAAGATAATTCTATATGTGGAAAGATCTGAACATTCTACATATAGAAGATCTGCATATTCTACATGTAGAAAGATCTGCATATTCTACATGTAGAAAGATCTGCATATTCTAAACAGGGGACAGTTGGGAGCATATTGGTGAGAACCTGTAGAACTAGAGTAGGGAATTTGATCTAAGGGTGAATCCTTTTTCTTTCAGTCTAAATATTACCCCCCCCCCCCCCCCCGACTTGTCTTACATCTGCAACTGGAAGAACAGTTTTTCTACCATCCTAGGTTAGAATTTATCATAATTGTTAAAAGGTAATAAATTATGAAAATGTTTCTTTACTCACAAGGTTTAATCCTATAACCCTCTTCTAAAGCGTGAAAGTATGTTATAAACTCCTGCACTGGAATTCGGAATGTTTCAAAGAGCCCCACTTCCTGGAACAACTTGTACGCCACCTATAAACATAAATTCAAACAGAATCGTAAAATTATAAAGGAACTGAATTCACTTGTATATCAATTTCAAACAATCGGCTACATCATTAACTTATATAAATATTGTAACATATACTTAATTTCATCATAGAAAGCAAATATTTTAAATGTGTTCTTTATAAAGCATTTCAAAATTATGAGTGAATTAATATACAATTACAGATGTTTCAAGCAATTACTATGTTGAGTGATATATGTATTCCTTTGATTTGCAATTTACTAAGGTTCCACTTAACATTGTTAATTGTTTATACAATTATTTCGTGTTTATCTGGCACAAAATCTTGGCATCAATTGAAATTGCTGAATACTACATAGTTAGAAACATCCTCCTAATGAGTTCCAACTATTTAGTCTATAAGACCCAATTGGCACGTAAAGTGAAACACTTTGAAAAATTGTATTTCTAGTTCTAGGAAATACTGCTAAATCAGTTTATTTCCTCAGTCATGAAAATAATTCGTTGAGACACAATGCAGAGAACCAGTCATATGTATCAAGGTATATAATACCTTTATGGATCAAGATGGTGCTAGGCTAGTCCAATCAAAAATGATTGAATTAAATGATAGAATAAAATCTGAACTTCTAATCTATAATCATTGATTTGAATTATTTATGAATTTTATAGATTATCCCTGGATTGTCAACCACATCCGACTTTATAAAAATTACCGCTTTAGAAATCTCAAAATATTTATTTACTTTCAACTACATTTCCACATAGAAATATTTTCTATGTTAGAAACCTGAAAACATTCCCTGTGCTATTTTCACTCTGCAGCACCCATGACTGACACACAAATGATATTGCAAATACATATATCGACAATGATGATATCATCTAAAATGTAAATGAATTTGGACGGAAGGCCCAGAGGGTATTTGCCACTCTATGAAATGACCAAAACATGATAAAAAGGATTAGACTGCACTGACCTCTCCAATTAAGGAACATGGAGAAAGAATCTCTAAGGACATCTCGTAATGGAAAAATGCTGTGTCTAAACTCAGGGGATTCTATGTATGAGGAAATTAAGGAAGAAATTGACAGCATAAAAGCCAATGATCACAGGAAGGTCTACGACTCCTTTTATGGAAAAATAATTCAATATAATTCTTTTGTCTTAGAAAGTTTCAAATAACAGATATTCGAACAATAGATTTATCCCATTAATAAAATTCTACATAATGTATGATTTTCTTTTTTCCAGAAAATAAATGAATGGTCAATGTTAAAGCTATCATGTAAACAAATAAAAACTGGGGGGAAAACAAAACAAGTTTCTAAATGCTGAAATTCTACTTGCAATCACATATGTTGTGTATTTAGGTTGTTTATTAACAAGAGTGGGTGGTGGTCTAAGCAGTTAATGAAATACATTATGTGACTTCATATTGCAAAATGTTTTAGATGAATCCTTAGAGACCTGATGATAACAACAATGAGACAAAACACACAGTGATAAATATCGGACTTTGATGAGTAAAATGGCTGCAAAGTAATTAACCCAGCATGCCTGAGTAAGTAGTTTTCCCGAGATTTTGATATGATTTATGTAGCGCCTGCCTGCCAAAATGCCCACCTACCCACCCATAAGCACAAAATGATGACAAGATTCCACTTTTATGATAAACATGTGATAAAACATGACAAGGCATTAACATGACAAAATGTCACCACTTAGTTGCTCACAATATTATGAGTTCAAACTCAAAAGAATTCGAGGCGATAAAAATAACAAAATATTACTTCTGGGACGAGATCAAACGACTTTTACATATTCTTTACCCTACCTATTTTGTAATTTAACAATCAACACAAGTATACATACCATATTTCAGAATATATCGAAAAAATCATAAACATATTTTTTGATCAATAAAATCATGGATCATAAAACTGGAAGTGTTTTCGCAGAGGTCCATGTGGACTATTTAATTATTTCAAATTTTGCTGTGGATTCGATTTTAAATGGTTCTTAATGATCTTCAAATGCTAAGATTTCTATTTGTAATGTTTTGACTTCCCCGCTTCATCAAAACAACATTATCACCAGTTACGCGACTCAAAATTCACTTCCGGTCTAACGTAATAAAGATGAGCTGAAAGTGGTCGAGGACAACTTTCAATCCTCAGTCTAAATATGGTTTTCAAGGTTCAATAGATGACTTAATAATGAATAGACCTGCATGCATAGTTCGGAAATAGAATCATCAGAGGTTTTAAACCATGAAATCAACTCTAAACCTGAAAAAAAAATTTGAATCATTTTGTCGGCTGTATGTTACAATGTGCCTTAAAGTCGGTAACTCTGTAGATCATTTTCAAAAAATGGTCAATTTGAAACAAATTTGAACTTCTGAAAACTTGTAGATGATCTTGAAAAAATTGAAGTCTGTCTAAACAGTATTTGTCAAGTTATTGGAAGTTGTAAGAAATTGTTACAGACGCTGATCGCCAACTTCCAACCTCCAACTGCCGTCACAAAAAATGGAGACCATAACAATATAGCACCACTTTTTGGTAGTGACATAAAAAACTGTAGTCACTATTACCATCTAACTGTATTATACATGTTTTACCAACCTTGCTGAGTATGCATCCCTTCACCGCATTTGACAGATCAAAAATCGGATAATCCCATTGGTTGAGCTGATGAATAGAGAGCAGAGAGCAGGATTCAATCTCACTTGGATCCCAAGGTAGTTCAGTGACGGTCTCGGTGCTACTTTCTGTGTCAGTGCACGTCTTACTTTCATTGTTCTCTGTAGTCTCAAACTCATCAAGGGTAGGTCCTATGACGCCTACTCCCTCCTGGAAAAGACACAAATACATTAGATCTGGTGAACACTATTAATTAAAGGCTTTCATGAATACCTCATAGCATGCGTATAGAAAATGGTAAAAGATACATATATTGAGCATGATATAAAAAATATACTATATATTGCTTATAAGCATTGGATACAGATATATACCAATAAAAACTGAAAAACTGGGTAATTTATTTCTATTTAAGATATAAAGGCAAAAATCAAAATTTATTTTTAGGGAAATTTTGATTTCTATAAAAGAAAATTGGGGCTAATAAATCAGGAGGATATTCAAGGTTTCTCAAAATAATTTGACAATTTGAAAAATTAGTAACATCTTGGAAAATGATCCTGAGGAAAATCCGGAATATCCAGACATGAACATGATTTCCAATGTTGTAAGCTCAATTGAGGTCAACATGTTACCAAGTAACTGTGCCTTTGCAACAAGATGGCCACCTTCTGATGGCAGATTTCAAGATACATAATATTATTTCCAGCTTGTTTTGCAGCTCTATTTCTAAAAAAATGGTACAGGAAAGTTGGCTACTTTTTGAGAAAATGTATGCGTCGTTTTTTCAATTTTTTGTAACACTGCTTGTTGTTAAGCAAGAACTTTTTTCAAGCCTTGATATTTTCAGAAAAGAAGATTTGTGTCAATATAGCCATAAACTCATTTCAAAGGGCAACATCATTAAACCATGACCCAAGTGCTGAATGCCTGAGGCCTCCACGAGGTGGTGCTAATGTCTTTTGATTGTGTATTAGTTACATGTCATTATAAATTGAAAAGTTTTTTGCTACTGACCCTTTAGCCTATACTACTGACCCCTTAGCCTATACTACTGGGATCACATGAAAGACATACCTGCAAAAGAGACAGGCTGTCCTCAGGTAATGCTGATTGTAATGCTAATTTTTCATCAATCATTGATGAAGACATATCCTCTGTTGATGTCACATTATCACTGTGATCACTAGAACTTGGAGACTCGTTACAACTCTCATAATCTGACGTTACATTTACAAGTCTTTTACTTACACTCCCTCTGGTGGCGGGAGTATCCCGCAATTTACAAATATCATCATTTGTTGATCGAACATCTGCTTTGACTAGAGGACTGATTGACTTGTCATTATTGACGGTCAACTCCAAGGGCATGCTGGGTAAAAATACTGATTTACGATCCCTCGGCGGGACCCGTTTTGTGTTTGACTGTGTATGCATCCCAACTGTGGCAATTGAAAAACTCCTCGATTTTGGGATTGTCAGTGATATGGTAGTCCCTGGGGAACTAGGGGAGGGGCTATTGCTCCTGCTGCCTGAGGGGCTTGTATTAGGGGTACTGTTTGAGTCTCTTGCCGTCCTAAAGCTGCTACTCCGTGTACGGCACACCTCTGCTTCTAATGTTGGGAGGCCTGTTGCTGACGTTGTGGTTGTCCATGTACTAGTAGACATGCGTCGCAATAAGCTAGGAGGTAAGCTACGACGTAACCTCTGAAATATTCAAAATAGTTTTTTTTACTTCATAATTATGACATGATACTTTTCAGTAAGTTATGGTTTAGGTCAGCTAGATTCATCATATTGAGATACGATAATTAGCCATTTATTAATTTCTAGTCTTTAAACTTCATTTTATTTGCAAGAAGGATTTGCACAAAGTATATCTACAACAATGAATATAAACAGCCGCCCTTTTGTTTATTGCTTATAAAAAGATACACTAAAAAAATAATGAATTAAAAGAATTAAAATAAAAATATAATGATACCTTTGGAAGGGAAGATGGCCGTTCCCCTGTATAAGGTGATTCCTCACTATCAGAATAATTTGATGATTCAGCGAGTGACACCAGAGGACTAACTTTTGGCTTATGGGAGGGGGTCATCGTGTCTGGGGGCTTCAAGAGGGTGCCAATAGCCCTCAGTCCACTGAGTACATGGGGCGGGAGGCTGGTGTCAGCCATCATATCTGTCAGCAACCCATGAGCCTCCCCCAACAGTGCTATCTCATAACTCTGAGAATTCTGAAAATATACAAAAATAAAATCACCATTAATTCAGTTTCAGAATCATTGATTCAGGTATCTGTCAGCAACATATGCGCCTCTCATAAAAGTGCTATCTCATAACTCTGAGAATTCTGAAAATATACAAAAATAAAATCACCATTAATTCAGTTTCAGAATTATTGATTCAGGTATCTGTCAGCAACATATGCGCCTCTCATAAAAGTGCTATCTCATAACTCTGAGAATTCTGAAAATATACGTAAAATCATCATTAATTCAGCTTCAGAATTTTTGATTCAGGTATCTGTCAGCAACCTATGCGCCTCTCATAAAAGTGCTATCTCATAACTGAGAATTCTGAAAATACATATAATACAAAACCATCATTGATTCAGTTTTAGTTGACTTATCAGGGGTTTCATTAGCAGCAGGCAATTTTCACTGGTTGTTTTCACAAAATCGCCTGTTGTTTTTAGTTTCAACTTTTCCATGTTGAATTTATGATTTCCATTAATTTTGCTTGTTTTTTCCATTTATTTAGCCTGTTCTTCTAGTGAAACCCCTGTTCATGAACTTATCTGCAATATCTAAACATTACAGTTCTACTTCTTATTGTATGTAGCATGACTTTTGCCGCATTCTACCCAAGACATGATACTGCAATATGGCAAAGCCAGCATCTGATCAATTCTTTAAGTATAAAATTAATACATTTTAGTCATATAGGCTGGTTATTTTACTGAATACAAAATAGAATCAAACTGTGTCACAGTTCTTGAACTGTACACACAGTTCAATAACAAGGAGGGTATTCCAGGGACCCAAGATCATTGACATGAAGTCTATCCAAATCATGATATTCAAACCCAGATACAAAAGGTGAGCCCCAGACAAAAAATAATTAACAGTTAGTCTTAGTAGCATCTAGATAAAGTAATAAGATATGAATACGGTCAACCACCGAATGGATGTTGACGAGATCTACTGAAATATGATCGGAACATGGATACTTTTTTATTTTATTTTATTTATTTTATTAGCCAGTACATAATGTAATATTCAAAAGCAATGACTAGGATGATTACATTAAAAACTGGAATAATCCTCCATTTTAAACTAATATAACAAATTAGAAAAATGGTCCCTTTAAAGTCATTAATGATGAGTTAAACATTTGTATTGAGTTCAACAAAATATCTTTTGGTATTTAAGGCATGCTTTGAAGTTTGTTCTGTGTAAATTTCATGAAAAGATAATAAAAAAGGTATTATGAAAAAAGAAAGACATGACTAATAAATATATCAATGATTCAGTTTCTACTAATTAGGCATAAGCATAAGACATTTAAATTTTAGACATAGAGATCTTATTTGCATCAAAACAGTTAGATCATCTGTGAATGCCATAGGATATATTCAGGGTAAAGTCATAACTATAAGGCTATTTTCATAGCAAATGTTATTTTATTCATTGCATTTTATCTAAGTGTTTCATCTATTTTACCTTTCTTTACTTATCTTTGTATTTCATACAGAACTAAGTCAAGATGCTTCTTTAAGATAATGAGACTAAAATAACAATTCAATACTGGAACCTTTCTGAAGAGAAAACTGGGAAACTACCTTAATCATTTCTTTCAAGTGGTGACAATTTACATGGTAATTCTACTAATAACCCTCCATTGTTTCTATTATAGAAAGTTGATTTACAGACTGATTATCTTAACATCTTAATGTAACGACAAACTCAATCATTTATATGCGTCCCTTTGTATATTATCCCTTAAAAATTTGGAAATAATTTCACATATGAAGTTTTCAAGTTCTGTGCTGGATTTCTCCTTTTATTCAATTTTGGCAAAAATTTCCAAAATAAGACAAAAACTCCCAATCTATCATGAATTTCAACAATTGAGACATCTGGGGGCTACAGCAGACATTTTATATAAAAATGGTTATTGAAGGTTGATTATCATTATCCATTGTGCTTTCTGAAAATAGGTTAGGATGTGGAATATATATTACAAAAAAAGATCTTTTATTAAGTTGTGTTCATTACGAACAAGAAAAACTTGATAACAGAAATACCAAGGCATTGCAAATCCCACCAAAGCCAATGGCTACTAAAATGGCTCAAAATGGTCACTCACTGAGCCAAATTGTCATCAGAAAGTGTAATTTGACTTTCAGTAGTCTCAATTAAAGTTTCAACAAAATGGTGGCCATTTGGAAACTGGTAGCCATTTTGAGAATTGGCTTCCGAGCAGAGACATAGGGCCAATGGTATTTGAGTTATTGTCCAGACAAACGGAAGGACACACAGATATCTCCCCAAACCTCATTCAATAGGATAACAATTGATTATTCACTTCAAAGTAAAATGGAGCATACCTTAATTAAGTTATAATTGATTAATAATAAAGAGTTCCTTTTCGTAGCAGGTTTTACAAACTAAGTGTTGATATCATGTTTTATCTTTGTGATAGCTTTTAAACTTCTCACATCTTCACCATTAATTTTGTTTTTACAACAAAGATGAAAGAATGTTGCTTCTATGAATTAGAATCATGTCATCTAATATGATTATCTTTAAAAAGTTTAATGGTAGACATAGGCAAGACAAAAGGCAGGTTAGGCACGTGCCTCTAAAAATTTTGTTTAGACATTTTTCCAGCTGATTCACCTCACATATGCAAACTTGCCATGCCTGCTTTAAAATACTGTCTATTAATAGGATAATCCTACAAAATAATATTATTAATAAAATCATATAATATTACTAATGACGAATGATAAAATGGTATTTTATGTAGAATATTTTATTTTGTCTCAAGGCCAGTCTTGCCAAAGCAAATTACAGCAAAACAAAAATTGATGTTATTTCTATTGATTTCTGAAGATATATGAAACCTGACATTTTACCATCATAATGCCTTGCTTATATTATACTTTAATAAGATAATGTAATATAACAAAACAGAAATATGGCTTTTTTAGAAACTACCATTTAACCATAAGGATTATAATGGGTTGAATGCAGACAAGATCTGGACAATACTCAGCTTAAGATAAACCAGGAAACGAGATCCATTATTCAGGTTTTAGAAAGATACGAGAAAAACAATATTGAATAAGGCTCATGACAGGAATAGAATTATATTAACGGGAAACCTTATCTTACTTCTGGTGAATTAGTGTATTCAGCACGGTTATTTTACATTACGCTATTTTACATTATGCCTCACATGAAAGCAATGTTCTACTCTGTAAATGTATTTTGTTTCCTTCGTTGCATCTCTAAGGTATGACACTAGGCAGTAAGTACAGAGCACAGAGCAGTATTCTTCCAAGGATTGTGCCTCAAGTGAGTACAAAATGCTCGCCATCACAATTTTGACTAAGATACTCAAAAGATGCTTCATTTAAAAAAAATGAAAAAAATGGTTGTGAATGCGATTTCACTTCAATGTAAGCTTATTTTAAAATTCTGAGAGTGTATGCTATCATGCCCGCTTGTTCCAATGCTGGGAGAATGTTTTATAAAGATGTGGCAGTAACGCCATCTCCAAGTGCAAGGAAAACCCATCAGAAGATGACTTTCTCAACAAGTTTCTTGTGAATCATTGGCTGTTGCATCAGGTCCTTCTTCTATTGGCTGGCTCTTTCTACTATCTCTCCCTATAAGCCTAACTGAATAATCACTCTAATATATCCAATTATTCTAAATGAAATATGACAAGCCTAGCAATTGCAGTTTCTAACTGTCTGGGCAGTTCCAAGTTTCCAAATGGAGAGTGTAAAATGAATCTATTTCTTCTTGAAAAGGGTTAGCATATCTATAGTTATAGTCAGAGGGTGGTATGATTAACCAATAGGGAACCAGGGTTTGTATTATCTGCCATGTTCATTTCCTCCCCTGTGTATTTACAGGGTAACAAGAGTGAATCTGAATAGTTCCACAGGGTATAAACTTTTTCCACACAATTATAAATGATTGTTATATTGCATGTCATTTTTCAAGCGTTAGCCTTGACTATACTGGACACAACTGAACTGTTTATAAGGGTTTATACTATCAGAACTTCACATTTACTTCTAACAAAATCATTAATTGCAAATTAAAGCAAATGATGTATATATCTGAATGTATTATTTATACCAATGGGCCACAATAGGATTATCTACACAGCCCAAACTGTCATGGCTTACTCGCTCTCATCTATAAAGGAATAAACTGAATGAATTGCTGGTATATAATCACCAATGCAATGTCAAGGTGACCTGATAATTCTCATCAAATGAACTTATATAATAATAATGATAACAGATGATGCTTTTAAACTTTAAACTAAACATCTTTTTAAACATATTTTTAAGCTTATATAAGTTACTTTAAATTGAATACCTTTTTAACCTGCGCCTCTTTATATTGAACACCTCTTTTTCTAAACTCGAATTCTGCCAAAGCCAAAGAAAATGATTACTGTATCAACATGATAATTTTGAAAATGCATCTAGAATTACAGATGCACAGATTCAATGTTGATATTCTCTTATTGTCATTTTTCTGAGAAAATAATAGAATAATGTCAATATGTCTGGACAAGAATTCTCCTGAGATTGGGTCTAAGTAGAAATATGCTCAGTTGATGTGAATAATTAGACTCAATGACAAATTTCAATTGCTCTTATTTCTATCAATTATTAATTTAACATTTGTTGCTATCAATTATGTACGAGTTAAGAACTATGTGATTGGTAAACCATGTTCTCAAAATTCAAATGATTTCATGATCGTTACACACAAATACAGTTTTATTTCTTAAATATTTTCAAGTAAGTGCAAAATCTCAAATGGGTACAGCTTTAATGCTGGATAGATCACTTATACTTATAGTTAATGTGTACAACACTAAACAGCCATTAAAGCATGACATTCCTTGCCTTCAAGCAACTTAAATTTGTTTTCTTTTTAAACTCTGATCAAAAGCCATCAGCATCAAAACTGTCAGTTCA